TCTCTCTCTCTCTCTCTCTCTCTCTCTCTCTCTCTCTCTCTCTCTCTCTCTCTCTCTCTGAAATGAAACTCAACACATCGATACAACACATTCCTACGATAATCGATATCTTCTATTATACGATATTAACGATACATTTTTCAAAATATTAAAATACTATATATCACGTTGTTTCATAACGCGAGCTCTCATTATCGGCCCACGTATGAGAGTAATAAAATAATCTCGAAAAAAAAAAAAAAAAAGAGAAAAAAACAACAAGAAGGAAACAATTTACAAAATAAATAAAAATCACTACTTTTTAGAAAAGTATTACAAGTTTTTTTTCTTCGATCGAAGGATCGAACTACTACCATCTACACGATCTACCGATCTCTTCTTCTATCTACCTATCTATACGCTTCCTTTCGAAAAGAAACCACGTTTTTCTTTTTCTTTTTTTCTTTTTCTTCTTGCTTCGATCCACGCGGCTATCCTTCATTAAGATACGATGTAGTCCGCGGAATGATGGGAGTGATGAGAATTTCGATGCTTGTCCTTCCTGTGATTCGTCCTCGAGTTACTGCTGCGCGTGCCGGTTGTCCCAGTTGTACCGGAAGTGTGATGACTGTACCCGCTGTCGCTGCCGAAACTGCTGTCCGGCTGGCCTTGATACAGTCTGCCGGAAGTAATTTGCTCGGTGTCGCGTGGCGCGTAGTAAACCGGCTGCGTGTACTTGTCCTCGTTGTAGAGGCGGTCGGTCGGCTGCGAGTAGGTGTCCGAGTACTCGCTACCCACTTGCGTGTAAACGGGGGCAGCGTCCTGGTTTTGCAATCCGTAATACTCGGATCCCCCGTATTGCGCTGTGTATTTGTATTTGTCGTTCGACTTGCGGGACCTCTCTTTGTTGCTCCTGCTCTGACTCGAATAATGATGGAGGGGGNGAGTACAGGCACGCTCTCGTACGGGTTCTCCTCGACCCTGAGAGCCTGCGTCGCTGGCATCGGTGGCACAAAATAAGGTAATCTGTGGGCCACCGATGGGACGGACTGTTGTCGTTGATTGCTATTCGATCGGGTGCCAGCCACACCTGAAATCGACGGGAACCAATCAATTCGAGTCCCTCGGTTCCATCTTCGACTCGTCATTCTCTTCCCAACGTGTTATTTACGTATAGATTCGAAATTTACCCGCGACGCTGGGATAAAGTTGAAGTAGGGCGTCAAGCAGCATCCCCTCGTGGAACTCGCCCACATCGTGATTCTTGTCCCTCCTGTGCCTGTCCAGGCTTCTGGGGCTCTTCCCTCGTCTCTCTCGCGGTGGCCTGCCACCGGCTGGACAAGTGCCCCAGGTCGGGCCCGTCGAGGTGAGCATCCTCGCCTCGGACGGTTCACCAACCGACAGCTCGTCTTCCGCGAACTCGTCCTCGCTGCCCGGTTTCGACGAGGGCCGATGATGATGGCGGTGATGATTGTGAAGCCGATTCCGTGCGTTCAACTCGCTCTCCTCGTCCGTTTCCGGATGGTCCCCTGGAACGGAATGAATAATTTATAAGTGCCGCGCGGGGTGCTTGCTCGCCCGCGGATACGATAATTAATTGGACAGTTCGTTAATTAATTAACAGACAATCTCTTTCGCGTGTCAAAGTTACGATTATATCAGAGTGGATGATATCGAATCGAATCGGGGGAACGTGCTTTCAATTTTCAGCTTGTGAATCAGTGTCAGAATTAATTAGTTAGAGAGATCCGTCCCGTTGTCGTGGTCGTCGTTTCATTTAAATTCGTGTTCCAACTTTGCCAAGCGAATGGCGAATGGGGGGAGGGGAGTATGGGACGATTGTTAAGTGAAAGTATCCCACGGAAAGGGAAGCGTGCTGCCGTCATTACGGTCGAAAACAACGAAACAGGAAGAAACGGATGCTTGCGTGGCGTCTGATCGATGTCACGTTTCCAATCGCGAGCTTTTCTTGTTCTTCGTTGTTTTCCTTTATCCTCTCCAATCTTTCTCTCTCTCCTCTCGACAATTGAGCCACGCTTACACTCGCGATCGCGCAGGATACATCAATTCGACGCTCGCTGGGAATAAACTCGGTTTACATCGGAATCATTGAAAAAAAAAAAAAAAAGGAGGAAAGCGTGGTTACGCGGCCGGTTAAAAATCAAAACTACCATTTTATTCGCGCGATGAATTTATTTTTTCCATCGGTTCCAATTATACACGAGTTCACCCAATTTCACGTTTCGATTCTTTTCCAACTCTTTTCTTCTTTTTCTTTTTCTCCCCCCCTTCCCTCCCCCCCCCCCATCTGCCATATTTCGCGCAAAAATGGAAAACAATATGGGAACCCCACGCGATAACGCGCGTTCGATAAACTTCGTCTCACAAAAGGGAAACTGGCGAAACGAGAGAGCGATGCATTCGATTCCCGGTGATGCAGATCTCGAGATGCATTGTCGCGCATTTTGTCGTGAAACGAAGAGAAAGAGAGAGAGAGAGAGAGATCGAGAGATTAAATACAAAAAACGGTTAAAAGAAGTTTGAAGTTTATCGGATCGGTTCTAATCAACGTTACGGTTCCTGCTGTTTGCCGATCCCTCGAGTCTGCGGAGATGTATCGTCCCCGCTTCGTTTCAGGACGCAACGTCTTTTATTTATACGGGGGAGGGGAGAGAAAAGAGAAAAGAAGAGAGAAAGAGAGGAAAAAAAAAGAAAAGAAAAGAAAAGGAAGAAAGAGAAATAGAAGGGGAGAGGAAAAAACTCGAGGATGCTTCTCGGATTACCGCGGTTGCACTTTTAATCTCCGTTATTTTATATCTTCCCGTATTTATCATCGGTTTAAACGATACCGAGTAAACTAGGATTTCCCGTGGGAGCGAAGCTGAATTCCGCGAGACGAAGTGGAATTTGTTGGCCAGCGAAATCATTTAGAAACCACGAAATATATATATACGTACGCACATAGTATACGTTCCTATACAATTGCGCACCAATGTGTGTCAGTCCCGTACACGAGTCGAAGTTAAAAATTCCCCAAGACTCGATGAGATTCGAGCTAACCTCTTTTTATCCACGGAAAAACGGACAAGAGCGACGTTAACAAAGACGAATTATCGCTGGGAGGTTATATATATACGTTCTCGCATAATACGTGTAATCGGTGGTTGAAGCGAGGCGCAACGAACCGGGTATTCGATTACCGCGTCCTCGTCAAACGTCGAAAGTCTCATCACCATGCTAATTAGCTATCCGACTAATGGGAAATATAAGTCAGAGGTCGTGTCACGCTTATCTCCTTCCAACCAAAGGAGCCGGAGGAAGAGGAGGAGGAGGAGGAGGAGAAGGAGGAAGAGGAGGAGGAGGAGGATGCCCCGATGCGCGACACCCGGAGGGTCCTCGGGGCTATCAAGATAGGTCGGCCGTGAAAGGAACAAGATACACCCGGGGAAGAAGATGAACAGCTTCCGATTCCGCTCCAGAGGAGATTAGACGCCGGACGGCCAACTTCATTCGTCCGAGAGAAGAAGTTGGCCGAATTAATTGGGAGATAAGCGGGCGGGAGAAAAAATGACGAATGGCAAAGGGAGAACGTTGAAAGTTGGTCGGTCGTTGTATCGGTCGACGAACGTGTTGTTTTCTTCTGTTACGTCTGTTTGGCGGGGAGAGAAAAGTTTTTTTGGGAGAGGAGGGGATGGAAGACTTTCGAAAACTCTTGCGAGAATCGAGGGTGAACTTTGCTATTGCCGGTCGCCAATATTTGGTAACTTGGCGGTTTAGCTCGAGAGTTAAGGAAAGGTAAATGGCACGATTAATCGGGAGGCAAAGAAAGAAGCTCTGGTGTGGTAATTCTGGTGTTAGCTGAAACGGCAAAGAACACCCTTAGGATTTAACTCTTACAGCTCAATCAAATGGGTTAATCGGGTTCACTCGGATCCTACCTACGAATTCCGCCTGGGCCGAGCTCGAGCCTGAAGATCGCTCGCGCTCTCTACCCCTCAAAGTCTTCACAGCCGAGTCTCATCTAGAATGGAGAGCAGCGTGTGGTTTGGCGTTTATATACGGGGGGAGGAGGGGAACGTTTTAAGACCTTTATCCAGTTGGCCGATGTGCAAATTGGAATATTGCACGAGCAATCGAAACGCATATTTGATCGTTGGCCGGTATTACTCACCGTTGCTGAGCTCCTCGTAGACAGGATTGTAGAGATCCTGCGACGTGTACGGATCAGGACCCGGGCTGCTGCACACGAACACGCCTCTTCCTGTGTCTTTCACGTCCAACATCTATGTGTAACAGTGAAAAATTAGGTTAGAAACGTAACCACGTTTCGTGGTTGCTTCGAGTTTAAGGCTAATCGCGGTCTAAGGTGTCGCGGTGAGAAATCGTTAATAATAATAAGAAACGGATGTGTTTTCAAATTCTTAAAATAAATAAATCTAATATCATCGTTCGCTACTGGCCGAAGAAATTACCGTTGAAACGTCAGGACAAATTTCCAAGGTATTCAGCTGAAGAACCTTTGACGATCGTTAAGTGACGAATGCGAATTAAAATTGCGCAGTAATTTCGAGGCGGAACGAAAGTTGGAGGAAAGAGAGAGAGAGAGAGTTCTGGCGCGCTTTCATCGCGTTCCCGGCCGACGATTAACTCCGTTCCTGCCCTTAAAGACCCTCGAGATTCTCGGCGGGAGAAGGTGCACCTTCGGGCGAGCCTCGATCGCGAAAACGCTGAGTCGGTGCGAACCACGCGGGATGAAACGAGGGAGTCGTAAGTTAATCCTGGAATCGTGGAAATCCTGGCTCGAGTAATAAGGAACCCGATTCTGGCACCAGATTTATCGAAGGCTAATTTTTAATTTTTCCCGACTGTTTCCCGACAGAGACCATCGCGGAACCCATCGCGTTTCAAAAATCAACGGAACGAGCTCGAAAAGTTTCAAAGGTTTTTTTGAATTAAATCCTGACCGGATCGGCCGCCGACAGAATGGGATTAAAAATTCAACGAGATGATTGATATGATACAGCGCGATTTAATCCGTGCTCCTGGTTAACAGAGATACGAGGCGATCCTAATG